AAAGGTCAGATGCCTAAGGGCGGCACCCCATCTCTCAGAAGGGGAGGACGCAAAACAAAGCACATAAGGGAAAGGCCTTTCCAAGGAATTACAGCTTCAAGGTGTTAATGGGTCTGTAATGAACAGGCTGTGGAGTTGAAATAATTGCGTCTTTAAGAAACCCAAAGAATGCCACCATTGAACTTTTAGGCTTATCCAGTGAAAGGCCAGCTTCCCAAGTGGGTTAGACCTTGGAGTGGTGCAGAGTTAGCAAAGAACTCCCAAGCCTCAGGATTGAGTTCCCAATTAAGCAACATTTAAACAAAAAAACTTCCAAAAACCCATATTCTAAAACAGGAGATGAAGGGCAGGTGCATTCTTGAGAAGATAATCTTAATTTTCCAAGATACTTCAGCCAAGTATAACCTGGAAATACCACCTTTTCAAGGCCCAGAGGCCCCCAGGTCATAAACTAATAAAAGGGCATAACTCAGTAAAAGCCATTCTGGAGGGGCTCAGGAATGCATTCTTCCAGGGTTCCCATGTTTCATGCCACTACCACAGGGTCTCTTCTCTCTTCCTGAAAAAAACAAGGGCCATAAATTTATATAGAAGTTAAGACCTCCCCAAGTAGCTTTCTCCAGTGGTAGAGCTTGACTTTGACAGAATTACTGAGGTGGGTAGAAGAGGGGTTTCTTCCTCTTGAAGTCCTCAAGGACAGAAGAGGAGGAATAAGCAGAAATAACGGTTAATAAATGTTCCATCACTTGCTAGTGACTTTGGAGGTCATCCTTCCTCTGTTTAAGGCTTCAGCCTCTTCAGCTGTAACAACAAAATACCATCTACTTCACAAGGTTACCGGGAAGATTAAATAGGATAATGTATAAGTGTAAAGAGCATGCAATCTGATATTCAGCAATTATTGTTCAGATGGCAATGTCCAGATCTGTTCAGATTCCACATTCTTAAAAAATAAGGCTAGTAACAATTGTGAAGTTTAAAAGTTCATTTTATAAATGTCAATAACCAATCATATAAATGGAAGTTTCATAAAATTACCATATATAGTAATAAAGCATAAGATATTACAGAAAAATTTATACAAAGATATACACAATTACTTATGAAGATAATTACTAAGCCATTCCAGTGTATGAAAATAAACAGGAAAACCATTATTTATGGTATCACAAAGGCAGTATTTACAAGTAAAAAAAAAAAATCTCTGGTTGATAACAATTTGAAATATTTAGCACTTCTGTAACTACTGTTTAATCAAAATCTGATTTTCATTGACTCAACATTTATCATTTAAATGCAAATTTAAAATAACCTTGGATGGCAAAAAACACATTTACTCTGGTAGGTACAAAATACAACTGCATGATAAAGTTCCTGCTCTTAAGTTCAGATAAATCATTTAATGAATGACTGCAAAACAGACCTGGTTAAGTGTTGTGGGGTGGGGGTGGGGGGAAGCCTTGCTCAGAGCACCAGAGGTTAGAGGAAGAACACCTGGGTCTCATCCACAGATCACTGCGCAAGGAGCCAGAAGCCCTGGGCTCACATCCCAGCTTGGAGAAGTCACTAAATTTTGTTTTCAGAGTTCATCTGTAAAAACGGGACGATATAAATATTGTTCACCATACACTGTTGCTGGGAAAATCATTCATGTGGTAACTGCCCACTTCATATGCAGTCTATATGAGGTACTATGTTAAGGGCTAAGAGAGGGAGGGACAAGGCACATCTCAATACAGTGCTAACAGTCTGGGTAGATGCCAAGGCTGGATACTGACAGATATCTCGCTCCTATGCAGCGAACCATCCCTGTGAATGAATAATCATCAGGCATGTTCTAAGCGTTAAAAAAAAAATTCTATACTGTATTTCAAAAGGTAACACAAAAATGTTCTTTTTTTGCCATGCCTTTTTGGAATCAGATCAATGGTTCAGGCCTGTAGTGTGCATCAGAATTACCTGTGATGCTCAGCAGAAGTGCTGATGCCAGGCTCCACCCAAAGCTTACTCCTCCAGAACCACTGGGGACCTAGCAGTTCTGAAGCATCAAGAATCCTTTATTTCAAAGCAATGTCAAAAACACTGTTAATGTAATTGTGATACTTATTAATAGACAGTAAAAAAATATATAGCTAGTATAATACAACTTGAATATTACAAAGACACAGTTCTCACTAAAAAGACTTCCAGATAAAACTCAATGGCACAAGAAATGGCACATGGCAGTGCTGCCCTCAGCTTGCAAAGGCCTGTTACCCGCTCGTATTGTTTGCAATCAGTGTGTGTGTACACATGCATCTTTTCAGGGGAAGAAAAGCCACTTGGTAGTATGAACACTTTCTACTACTTCTAATCTTAAACTAACTGACAATCTATTGAGTACTGCTACAAACTGGGCAAACTGATGCAGCATGGGTTCCAGCATAAACCTTAACATGTCAAAAGGATTAGGTCAGAGCCCAGGCTTCACACATCTGCACCTGTAGCACGGGCAAGTCAAGTAGCTTATCTGGGCCTCAGTTCCTGCACTCAAATAAAATGAAATAACAGTGCCTTGTTCACACAGCTGCTGAGAACTAAATGAAGAAAATTAAGAAAAACAAGCTATCATAGATACATAATTGATTGTCTAGCATTTATTTCAAAATCTGGTACAACTGTAACGTGTGTGAAAAGAAGTCATTGATGTGTGCATTTATGCTCTATCTAGGAACATTATTTAACACTAAAAACTTTAATTTTTGAAAAAGTATATAATTGCAGAGCAGTCCATGTTCACAAGGATTTATCATCAAAATACAGTAGGCACTACCTTAGGCACATCACTTGATCTTCCCGGTTCTTACCCATCTCTCCAGTAGAATCTTCCTGCCAGAAAAGGCTTTGACCCTATCATCTCCTGAGGACCCCTTCCAGCTTCAAGACCTGTGGTTCATCATGACATTACAAACTTAACTCTTTTCCCCATTTATTTCCTGGCATGGTGAGAACAAGGCAGAATGACCAACAGGTGGAATAAACCACCTTTATTCATAATAAACAAGAGTGCAGGAAAAAAAATCATTTAGCAGAGTATCTTTGGCTTACAAAGCATGATGATCAAGGAGAGTCTAACCTAAACACCTCTGGGCATCTAGGATAAATAAGTGGCCTGCATCTTCCAAAGCAAGTCAAAACCATAACTTAAAAAGAACTATGCTGGAAAATTTACAACCCAAGGTTCTTAAGATCAAGCAATTTTCTTTATATTAAACCCTTTTGCAAAGAGTTGCTTTATGTATACTTACACATCACTGTTTGCTAGTTCCAAATCACGAGGGGAAGAGAGGCATGGGCTTATTTAGATCATATGTTCACTAAAAGACCACAAAAGATAGGTTTTGGAGGACTTCAACACTACCTGATACAGCGAGAAGCTGGCGCATCCTCGGGCCTTTAAATTTTAAAATCATCTGTAGCAAGTAGGGCACAAACACCTCAATACCCACAAAAAAACCCACCCACTTCCGACCTACAGGCGCTCTGCTGTGACTGCTCCTTCCACGCTTCCACACACACACACAGAAGCTTCAGCTCGGGGTGAAGGATGTTAAAGAACACACGCCCCTAGAAGGGCGGGTTGGCCCCCGAATAACGGTACCCAGCGTTCCCAGGTGTTTAGACCCCCAGCTAACTCTTTACGCTGAGAACAGTGGCGGCTACGCCATTTAAATTCCATGGTAGTCTGCTAGCTGTGCCGGTCGCGTCCCGAGGCGGCGTCCCCCAGACGCCCAGCGCCGACCCCAGCGGCCGCCGGGGCCACGAGCCGCCGAGGGGCCGGGCGGACCAGCGCCGGCCGCGGCGTTCCGGCGCGCGCGCACGCCTCAGCCAATCGCGTGCTCGCCCGCCCCCCGCGACCGCGGCGAGGCTGGCGCTGGGAAGAGGAAGAAGAACATTCGCCCTCCTCCTACCAGCGCGCGGGCGGCGGCGACGGCGGCACCGGGGTCACGAACTCTGACCTTTCACTGATAAAAACAATAACAAACCCCCCTTCCCTGCGACCCCGGCGGCGCCTCCGGGCCCGCCCCCGCCCCCACTTCGGCGTCTCGTCTCTCGCCCGCTGCCCCGCGAGCCCGCGGCCCCGGGGCTCCCGCCATCCGCCAACGCCGGGAGCCCGGCCTCCCCGCGCCCTGCCCTCCGCGCCGGGGGCCGCCCGCCGCAGACACGGGACCTGCATCGAGGCTGCTTTGGCGCCAAATCCTGAGGTAAAATTGAAAAAGGGCCGGGGCGGGCTCAGGCCGGCGGCGGAGGGGGCGGGCCTGGCGCGCGGACATGGAGGCGCCGCGACGACGGCTGAACCCGACCCTTTTACCTTTGCCACGGGGCGGTGGCGGCGGCGCCAGACGCTTTGCATAGTGGGCCGGGCCGCTCCCCTCTCCTCCCCTCCCCGCCCGCGCCCGGGCGCAGAGAGCGGGCTCCCCCTGACCGGCCCGGCTGGCGCGAGGGTGGGGGCGGAGGGGGAATGGTCGCGGCCCCGCCTCACTGTTGGCTCTCCGCCAGCGCCGCCATTTTGTTCTCGATAGAGATGGCTCCGGCTGGGCCGCGCTCCCCTCCTCCTCCTTTTCAGCCTCTATCTCCCTGCAGTCCCTCCTTCCCTCGCTCCCCTTTCCTTGCCCCTCCGTTTCCCGCCCGCCGTTGGCAAACGCCATGGCTCAGCCGACGTTTTTTTCTGAAGGGGAGGGTGGACGAAAACGGGGAAGGCGGGTGCGGGGCGCGACCTCGTAAGCGACGGCTGTACCGACCAGTTGGTGCCCAGATAGGAGGGCTGGGGCCTGAGGCTCCGCCCCCGAAGTGCTGCTGATTGGCTGGGGCAGGGGGCGGCTCCCGCGGGCAGTGGGTGCCCTGGCGGGGCAGGAGCAGAGGCCGCGGCTGGGCGTGGGGCCGGGGCGGCGGGGGCGTGGCCGGGGCGTGGCCGGGGGCGGGGCGCGCGGCAGGGCCCGGTTGGGGTCCGGACTTGTGGGGATGCGGTGTGGGGTCGAGCGGCGTTCCTCCGCAGAACAATAGTAATAAAAGTGATGAAGTGTCCTGAATTCACGGCGCTGGCTCGTGCGAAAGGCTTCCCGGAATCTGGACACCCTTCAGGGCTCTTGCCGGTATTTGCGGCACTGCCACGGGCGAAGCCCCTTTCTGAGGCTCAGTTTCAGAAGACTGTAAGACGGGGAGAATGGGCGTTCTTGCCGGGCCGGGCATCTTTTCTCAGGATCGTTTGAGGGACTCTACTTAGAAAATGGAGTTCAGGCTGCTTTGGAAACCTCAAAGTAGCGTAAAAATGATGGTGGTGTTGGAAACGGGATGTAGAGTCACCAGGAGTGGGAAGCTTAAGGGGATTGAGGGCTTGAGAGAACACAGGTGAAATCCGAGGTAATTACCTTCTCATTTGTTGATAGATACATACTTGGCTTAGTTTGGGACACTGGGACACCTCCAAAGAAGCAGCTAGACGTGGACCGTGCTTTCCTAGAATTGGGGGTGGGGGCGAGTAGATTTGAAGACATGATTTCAGAGAGTGGTAAATTCCCTGAAAAAATGAAGTGAAGCCAGATGATGTGTTAAAGAAGGCCTGAGGGGGACTGATTTGATGGGATGGTCAGGAAGACCTCTGAGGTGATGTTTGAATGGAGGAACCCAAGAAGAAAGAGTGTTCCTGAGAGAGCAAGGGTGAAAGCCGGTAAGCAAAGCGTGTGGTGTGATTGAGAGCAGGCCGGTGGTGGCTGGAGAATGTTTGGAACTATGTCCTTTCTGGCATCTCACTCTCTTACAAGCTAAAGTCTATGTAATATGACAAAGGTAATGGAGAATAAATCTTCAATTTAATAATAAAGAGTCAAGGAAGATATAGCCATCAAATGAATTGCTGATGATGCTGATGAATACATGATCTGGGGGGGAAGCCTCAGAAAAATCGCTTTACTTCCAGATTCAAATCCTTTGTTAGGGGCCTTGTATCCATCTTCCATTCATCAAATATTTGCTCAGTCCCACTAATAACCTAGGCACTAGGGGCTAGACTAGGAATACAAAGAAAAGGAGATTGTAGAGGGTTTGCCGGGAGTCGAGAGTTGAAAGTCTCTGTAGCCATTAATTTTAAATATTTTTCCAAAGATTCATGCAATGAAATTACTGAAAATCACCTTTTACTTGCTTTTCCAAGGTTAAAAGCAGATTTTGCAAAGTATATGTCAAGCTTCTACTGGAAAGTCTGGTAAATAGAACATTTTTGTTGATTTATGTAATGCAGATTTTAATAATGAAATGTTATGGCATTTTAAAAGCAATTAACAGTCATACTTTATTTTTTTTATATTTGGATATTTCTTTTCTATCCTGTTTGAGGATTTTTTTGGTATTACTGGTTCAGCACTTGACCTCCTGAACTGATTACTCAGGGTAACTAAAGAAGTGATAGTTTAATGAAAAAGCTGTTGTCTTGCCAATGGGTTTCAGCCCCAGGCAAGTTCACTATGGAATCAGTGTGACCAAAGAAATTGACAGCAAAACGTTCTTTGGGGTGAAAGGGTTATACCCAACTTTGTTTCCAGGTGGCAGGTCAGTCACTAGAATCCCATTCACACAGAGCGAGTCTGTATGCAGCAAGCCAGTCTCTGCTTCTGGGCCCCTCTGTCTGCACAGCCGTCCCACACAGCCGTCCTGCCCAGTCGTCCTCTGGGCCTCTGCGTAGTTGTGTCCTGCACAGCCATTCTCTGGGCCTCTGTCGTTGGCACTGCCACCACTCCAACCTCTGCTCTGCTCTGCTCTCCTGCAGCCTTGCAGCCCTGCCACTGTATTGCGCCCAGAGCACTGGGTGGAGCTCTTTTTATAGAGTCAACAGCCCTGTATTGCCCACAGGTGTGCAGTGAGTTAGTCAACCAGGGCCAGGTGAGAATCCTGGCCACAGGAACTCTCATTTTATCCACAGCTGTATATCATCTTACAGCATTAAATAACTTAAGGCTTTCAGCAGTTGTATTTACAGTGACTTTGAAATTTTGTTTTCATGAACATGCTCTTAAAGAAGAAGACCCTATATGTAATAATCTCACTTGAAGGCTTCTGGGAAGTTTTCTCATTTGGCTCCAAGGACTCAAGTGACAGTGCAGTGCTTTCCCCAGAACCTTGAGTGGGTAGCCTCTCTGAGGGTTAAGCATTCCCCACTTGTAAAATGGGGAGGGGGAACCAACAGTGAGTTTGGGGCCAGTACTAGAGACCACTTGTCAAAATGACAGAGAGAACAAGGCGGGTGGGCCTGTGTGTAGTAGTCCCCCTTCAACCTTGGCACTGAACCACTGGCCTTTTGTGTTTAGCCTCCTGAGTGTCTCCATAGACTGTGGGCTCTCATTTGGGACACAAGTTCTCGTACCTATGTGCCATCTACTCCTTTAGTCCCAAAGCACTGGGGGAGAATCTGTGAAGGAATCCGCCTTAGAGCTGAAGTCTGGCCTCACACCTAATACAAACTCCCCTGCCAGAGTTCAGCTGATCTTTTTTTTTTCACTTTATTGCTGGTTATGAGGAACTGAAATAATGACTTTTTTCCTGCATGTGTGATTGTTATCTTTAACCTGATGTGCACATTCATGCTCCTGTCATACCTTATACAAGATACACACTTTCCTATTTGTTGGAGTTTTCATTTGCCTTCAGCCTAACTTGCCTGGAGGCTGAGTGTCTCTTTGTAATTCCCTCCCATCCTGCAGTTCCTTCTCCATATCCCTTGTCACCTGCTGCTGCTGCCTCTTCCCCATCCTCTTTCCAGGCACCCGAGCACTGAAGTTAGAAACAGCAGGAGTTTGGTCCCAAAAAGCAGGACTGCCTGGGACAACAATTCACTCAGCATAGCTGAGCATGGTGAAGCAGGGGAGGGGGAAAAAACAACAACCACAACTCTTCCTACAAAGGTATGGAAGCTCAGGTCAGTGCATTAGCATTGGGCATTGTTGGGGGAACAGGAAGAGCAGGTTCATACCCCTGGCATGGGGGAGTCTCGGAGTAGAGCTTTGGGAGGTGAACTGTTAATAATGGAAAGGGAATAGGCTGGCCCCCATGTTCAACTGTCCTTTCTGATCTATCCCTGGACTCCAGGTAGCCTATGATGATGAAAGCTAACCTCAGGGGCAAAGTGTGATTTTTAGGGACAAATAAAAATTACTTCCTCCACTATAATGAGATGCCTAACATCCCTTAATAGGAGGTGAAACTTTTTATTTCATAATTATAAACAGTAACTCTAAAGACTCTAATCCCTGGAAATATATGTTGATAGGGAGGAATTTCAGTCTCTACTGTCTGGATTAGTGGGAAGTATGAAAGAAGTTGTCAGGGCCTGGAAAATGGCATGAATGCTAACTGAAGAGTGAGAAGGAGAAAAGAGGCTGGTGGGGCTGGATTCAAATGGAAGGCCTCATGGTTTTTACTGGGAGGTACCTTATTTACCATTATTATTAATGTATTGATAGAAACTATGCAAAACAAAACAAAACACTGTTACCTGGCTTCCCATACATGTAGCATAAAAACTCCTCTCACTGCCTCCCTCCTTGTGGCAGCCAGGTCTCTACTGGGAAAGATACACAACAGAGGCTGGATGGCTCTTAAGTTATGCAATGCCAGCAGGCTTCATGATGCATTTTCCCCAGTGGTATTTACTGTACAGTGACTGATTATGTATTATTTGTAGAACATTTCAGAAATATCACTTGTGCTGCCCTCATTCTCCTTCTCGCCCCCTTCCTCATTGCTTCTGCAATAATGCCATCCTTTTTTTACTAGGTTGATTAGGTGAATAAGCCTGGAATTACTGAAAAATCTCCTTTTACTAAGATTAAAAGCAGATTATATGTACGTATATTTACATGTCTTTATAAGTAAAAATGTTTCTTTTCTGAAGTAAAAGACTTTTAAAAATAGAGAATTTCAAGTGAAGAAAAGATTGCATTGCTTCATGTACAAGAATGTTCGTAGGAGCCTAGCGGTAAGCACTCCAAACTAGAAACAATCTAAATGTCATCAGCTATAGAATGAATAAACTGTGGCATAGTTGTAAGTTGGAATAGAACACAGCAGTGAAAATGGACTGGCTACTCATGGTTATCACAACAATAATGAATGAAAGATGCTGGGCCCACACAAAGTATATTAAATATACTCAAAAACAAGCAGACTGATCCACAGTAATAGAAGTCAGAAGAGTAGAAGGAATGCAAGTGACTGTGAGAAGGTACACGGGATACTTCTGGGGTGCTGGTAATGTTTTTTTCTGATCTGGGTGGCATTTACAAGTATGTTCACTTAGTGAAAATTCAGTGAGGTGTTTCATTTATGACTTACGTACTTTTGTATTTTCATGTACTTGAGTAAAAATTTTTACTTAAATAGTAAAATTAGCCTACTTTTATCTGTATGATTATTATGTAGGTAAAGTTTTAAGGGAAAGTGTGTTCGTGTTCCAGGAGAACTGTTGTGTTACTGTCCGGGTTGGGCCAGGCCAGAAATTTCTGTGTCACTCTGAACATAAATCACATACTTAGGAATCAGTGATAGTGTTGAGTGAGTTTCTAAATGATCTAGTATACTGATGTAAGCAGTTTTTCCCTTAGATACCTAATTGGTCTCCTGTCACTCTTTTTTAATTCCCTCGTTTTGACTTCCTATTTCTGGTAATCTGTTTTGAAGAACACTGTGGTATAGAGAGAGTGTGGTGATTTTGGAGTCAAAGCAGCTGTTAAGGGAATCCCAGATCCACCTCTTACTAGCTGGGTGACTTGGAACAAGTTGGGTAAACTCCTGAGTCTGTTTTTACTGCCTGTATTGATCCAGCTACTCAGAAAATACGTTAAGGGGTAGATGATGCCTAGTTTGATGTAAGGCGCATCAGGAAGTCTACCCTGCTTTCCTTCCAGCCACATGTCCTTGGCTCACACTAAGAAATGAGGAGAGTCCATATCACCCTTATACGTGGGCCCTTGGTAAGGTGAGGAAAATCACTCACGGTATACAGTGATTTTTTTTCCATCTCCACAAAGGAAGTTACAGCACTGTTCTGGTAGCATAGGAACTCCGTGTAGTTGAGAACTACTTCTCTTCCCCTCTGTTCCCCGCTGGCTCCACCTCCCTGGCTCTGGTGTGCACACACTATTGCCGCTCCTCTCATATGGTCCAGACTTGGAATATGGAAGGGTCAGGTTTCCTGTGGAGGACAGAAAATCATCTGATCCAAAAACTAAGTAACCTTTGAATCTCAGGGCAGGGTTGCTGATGACAGGTTGTATGTATATCAGAACTTGGCCTTAGAGGTATCCCAGTGAGCATGTTTTCTGTTGATGAACATTTATATTATGCTAAATCTACCGCTTGGTTTCCATTTC